TAGGGGGGAAAAAAACCCTCCAGAACATGTCCAAACAGCCTGAAAAACCCACAACAACCATCGGATCCCAGCCGTGAAAGCCTTCGAGAATACAGGCCATAGGATTTTGACTATTGGCTGAACAACCCGTGAGAGTCATTTGACGCAACAGAACGTCAGAACTCAGCATGGCGGTGGCCAAAATCAAAACGGCAATGACGCCAGTAAGAGAAGAATGAGAAGAAAATGAGGCTAAATCAGTTCTGAAGGTGTTGAAAGATCCTTTGTTGACTCCCTGTTAGCTTCTCTCTTCCCCCCCACCTCCAAAGCTAGAAAATGCCTCCAAACCTTTGGCCCCTCTTCCATCTGGGCAGAGAACTCCATATCCTTGATCACTGACATGAATGTCACTCACAAAAGCATTTATCACGAGCCCCAGTCATTAAATTCTTCTGGAGCGGAGATATCAAGCTAATCCAATTGAGCAAACAGAGACCTCAACACCTATCAGAAGGAGTAATTAAAAGCTGCCTGGGGAATCTGCTCGGTGAAAAAACTTTGTACTTGGGGCCCTCATTTGAACATTAATTGCTGCCATTCATCCTACAAATATTTCAAAATGCTGGCTGGTTTCTAAGAAGGGGGGCCGTTTGCAGGGAGAAAAGATTTTTTTCTGATTTTTTTTAAAAGCCTTGACATTTAAAGTAAATGAGTCTGACTCTAATAGGTGGGAGCGTTAGATTAACCAGGCCGCCGCTTTGCAATTATCAGGCTGAGGTAAAAGCAGGGTTTTTGACTTGGCACCACCACCCACCAATCCCCAAGTAGGAAATACATCACAATGCCAACGCATGACAGAACAAATCAGGTCCTCTCAATTGATGGTGCGGTTTAGCTGCTTTAGAATTCATGGGTCACTAAACTGAAATAAAAATTAAAAAACCCTTCTACTCAAAGGCCAGGCACTATTTCAAAAAAGCCCATCAGGGCCAAAGCCAAGTGTCATTGCTAATAAAACGGTAAATATTTTAAAAGGCAATGTACACACTGAGATGACATTGGTCGCTGGCCACGCTTTGGACTTGTAACCTCAATAAGCCACAGCAATAAGTCTGTCAGGTAAGGTCCTATCATCATCACCATCGTTGTATTATCAGCGAGATGAGTTGTGAGCGAAGGAGCAAAGAAATCTTTTTTTCCTTCGGATGGGTTCTTGCTTCTTAAATTTAGAACTTGCTAATGGACCAAGTCAAAGGTATGGTTTTTCCAGTAGTGATGTATGGAAGTGAGAGCTGGGCCATAAAGAAAGCTGACCGCCGAAGAATTGATGCCTTTGAATTGTGGTGCTGGAGGAGGCTCTTGAGAGTCCCCTGGATGGCAAGGAGAACAAACCCATCCGTTCTGAAGGAAATCAACCCTGAGTGCTCCCTGGAAGGACAGATCCTGAAGCGGATGCTCCAATCCTTTGGCCATCTCAGGAGAAGAGAAGACTCCCCAGAAAAGACCTTGATGTTGGGAAAGTGTGAAGGCAAGAGGAGAAGGGGATGACAGAGGACGAGATGGATGGAGAGGGTCATTGAAGTGACCAACATGAATTTGACCAAACTCTGGGAGGCAGTGGAAGACAGGAGGGCCTGGTGTGCTCTGGTCCATGGGGTCACAAAGAGTCGGACACGACTAAATGA